AAGATCCTCTTTGGAATATTATAAAACAAAACAAAACAAAAGTACTTCCTCTGGGTTTACAATCCATGACAATGCAGTAGCAAGAAATATATCCAGCACCATGTTGGTTTCTAACATCATACATTCTGGAGAAATGGCAGGAGCAGAGGCTATACAGGATGAGCCTAGAATATCTTATTATACCAGAAAGTAAGGTAGAGCTCAAAAAACACAACAATGGAGGCATGTGAAAGGGACATAGGAACCAACTGAAAGATTTTCCAATCACCAAGCTGGAACAATTCGAACAACAAAATAACATAGTGTTGGATTATAACCCAAAGTACAAAATAATAACCATGGGCCCATAATAATATAACCAAATACTTGAATGAATAAGTAAATAAGGGAGAATAGACAAATCACCCATACAAAGGAATTCTGCCCCTCAAAGACTTGGGAAAGTCTTTGCCCCTACCCCTTAAGTGTAAGCTGCACTACTGACTTCCTTCCAAAGAGAAAAGTATGGAAAGGGAGGGGAGAAAAAGGAGTAACTTTACAGGGGGAAAATCTGACAGAGATTATCTCAGGTATGTGATGAAGCTTAACATCACTAGTGATATCATTAGTGATAAGTTATATCGACAGCACATTCCCTTCATATTGTATGATGAGCATGGCGTTTTACCTCTGCGGTCCTCCTCCCCAAAAACCATAACCCCAGTTCATTTATAAGAAAAACATTAAACCCAAATTGAGAGACTTTCTACAAAACCTACCAGTACTCTACAAAACTGCCAAGGTCAGTAAAAACCAAGAAAGTCTGAGAAACTGTCAGTCTACAGGAGCCTAAGGAGACACAATGACTAAATGTAATGTTGTCATCCTGGATGGAAACCTAGGACAGAAAAAGAACATTAGGTAAAAACAAAGGAATCTAAAGTATGAACTTCAGTTAATAATAACCTATCAATATAGCTAATCAGTTGTGACCAATGTCTCATACTATTGTAAGATCTTAACAGGTCAAATCAGGTAAAGGGTAGGGAGCACTCACTGTACTATCTCTGCAACTTTCCTATAAACCTAAAACTCTTAAAATAAAACGTGTATTAAAAGAAAAAAAGGACCTCTTCTGGTTTGAAATCTTTCATTATCTGTTAGAATCTTTATTCCCTGGTCCAAGTCTTCTATAAAGTTGCTATTCATAATGTGGTCACCTGTGAGTTTCTTAGCAATACAGAATCTCAGGCCCATCCCAGATGCATTAGTCAGTGTTCTCCAGAGAAGCAGAACCAATAGAGAGAGAAAGACAGTGTGTGTGTGTGTGTGTGTGTGTGTGTGTGTGTGTGTGTAAAGTTATATAAGGAATTGGCTCATGCAATTATGATGGCTGGGAAGTCAAATCTGCAGTGTGAGCTAGCAGCCCAAAGACCCAGGAGAGCACGTGGTTGCAAATCAAGCGTAAAGGCAGTCACTGGACAACTCCCCCTTGGTCGGGGAGAGGGTCTTTTGTTCTATTCAGGCCTTAGATTGAATAAATTCAACCCACATTCTGGAAGAGTTCTGTTAACCTCGTCCAAAAACACCCTCCAGGTTGTCAATGCCAGACCTGATAAATCAGAATCTGCATTTTAAAAAGATCTGCTGGGTGATTTCACGCATATTCAAGTTTAAGTGGCATTGCTGTAGAAGACTCCTAAAAGGCCAGAATCCCTCCTTAAAGATCTTAAAATATACATGGTAATTTCACTAACTCAGAAACTAGGCTTGATTTGTTGTTGTTTTAACTTGATAACTCTCCTAGCATTTATTGATCCGGAAGTGAGGGATGCCTTCAGAAATCTCCACTCTCTGTGCTGGGTGAGGGTAACCCTCCCATTTGTTCCCACGTGGACCTCACCAAGCTTCTGACCCGGTTTTTTTTAAATTACTGTCCTGTGAGTCTTCCCAGCTACAATGAGCTCCTCAAGGGCATCTACCACATCTTATTTTTCCTATCTCCAGGTCTCTATTACTCACGATAACAGCCAAACTGAAGTCTGGCGTCAGGACTGCAGGTCCACATCTGTCCCATTCCCACTGCCCCATCCCCCAACCCTCCCAAGAGAGACTGTACATTTTCCTCTTTCTCAGGCAGCATATGCCAGAAGTTACTATTCGAATTAGATCTGGGGAGACATTACACACAGATTACTCTATAGGTTGAAGCATATGAAATTGACAATATTGGCTTTTTTGACCCACAAAATCAGCGATTTCCTAGGACTGAACAGTATGTTTCCATTTAGTGTTTTTCCTTCGCAAAAACTACTTTAGGGACAATATGCTGTCACGGGTAGATAGTACCAGGATTGCTAATATTCATGACAATTTACTATTGATAAATTAACGTCAAATACACACCATTCACTTCCCAACTTCGATCCCAGCCCTCCCCTTAATTATGCGCGATTCAAGTCCTCGCAGCCGCCTCCAGGGTCCCACTCATCCCGGAGGGGCAGCCCCTACGCTTTTCAAGGGAGCACAAGAGGGGAGAGCGTTGTTCCTCAGAACGACGGCGATCTGGCATGCCCAAAACCCAAGGGGCGAGATAACTCAACTCCCACCGCGCCCCACCAGGCCACAACGCCCCGAATTCTGCCTTTCCCCACCCAACCCCTCCACAGTTGCCCGAACCTAAGATGGCGGCGGGGGCGGAGTCGGTGCAGCCGCCTCTAGGCGGGACCGCGGTGACAGAACGCAGCCGAGGGGCGGTGCCAGCGGCGCCACCCCGCCCCGCCAGCGCGGCCCGGGCCTTCGGCTGTCCGGCTCCCGCTCTCCTTTCTGCCGGTATCGCCGTCCTGCTTCTCGGAGGCGTCATGAGGTCCCCGATTGGGGGCCTGGCCTCGAGCGATGGCGAGGAGGGCTCAGATAGGACGCCCCTCCTGCAGAGCACCCCGCGGGTTGAAGCCGGTGAGCAGCGGAGCTGTCCCAGGGCGGGGGTGGCCAGGACACCCGCGCCCTTGGCCGATGGGACCAGAGCTGCTTAGGCGTGAGGGGTCTTGAGGAAGGGAAGCGAAGGCGCGAGGGAACTCGAGGAGGGGGAGTCCGTTCAGGGCCCCGCTTAGCCCCCGCCTGCCCCGGTGCCCAAAAGCCGCTCTGGGGTCTGGCGGGGACCGTGAGGCCGGGCCGGGCTGGAGGCTCGGGTGGGGCCTCGGCAGGTGCAGCTCCGCGGGGTCTGGGCAGGGGCAGCTGGGCGCCGCCCGCTCTGGACTCCTGGCAATTCTCGATAATATCGAGCGGGGAACCCCATGTTAGAATGTATTGTAGGAGAACCTGTGAATCAATGGGCAAGGGGCCGAGCGGAAGACCCGGAGTAAGAGCAAACTGGGAGAAAACCCTGCAGATCGGTGGGCAAAGGGTTGGACGGAGCTGCTAGCTCTTTCTCTCTGTCACCGCCAGGTTTCCTCAACTGCCGCCCGCCGGCATGTAATCTGGTAGCGCCTTGGGCGAGGAGCTGAGACCGAGGAGGACTGAGGTTAACATTTGTGTGTATGTGGAGGAAAACTATTGCATAAGCCAGCGAATATCTTGAATTTTTTTTTCCGTATGGTAGTCTACGGTTACATCGTAGCAGGTCTACGATTTAAGTTAGAAAACAGTTATCTTCAAGATAGAAGATCTATAAAGTTCTAAGATAATTTGCCAAAGGTCTTGCAGCAAATAGAAAAGGAAGTACTTCACAACGTATCTTCCCTGAATTTGGAGAAATTAAAATATATTGCTATTTAATACTTTTATAAATGTTAACTTCTTTAAAAGTAATTAAAACTAAAGAACAAATCCATTTGTACGCGTTCTATAGTTTCAAAGATGTGTGCATGAGAAACAGAGTTGAATTAGAAATTTGACTTTTCCTGACCAAGAACAGGATCGTCCTGTGGTATCTTTTGTGTTTTTAACATTACCAGATGGTGGCAGTAGATGTGGCAACCTAAGAGCTCCATCCGGCAGCTGGGAGCTTATTTTAGAGGACGCTCAGTGTAAATACTGTACCAGTGACGTTAGACGTGGAAGTTGGACTTAGTTCCATAAACTGAGCTTTTTCTGTGGCATACACTGTTAGATTTCTAAAATCTTCTGTAAAATAATCTAGTATGGAAATACAGAAACAAATGCCATCAAGATATTCCCTAGAGACTATCATATTCTGTTGCAGTTGAGAAAATATATACAGCTGTACTTCATCCACGCCTAAGTGTATAGTTTTGATTTTTCAGGAGAGAAAGGCCAACAAAATGTCAGTGGTAACATTTTACAGTAGTAAAAAGACCTTAGAAACTAACCACCCTCTGGTGATGCATCATTTTATACATAGACAACCAAGGGCCACAGAGATTACATTCCCAAAGGTTGCAGCATGTAGCCACATTTGTGTTATATTTGAGAAATTCCTATTTGAAAAATGCTTAATCGTTTTTACTTGATCCATTACAAATTTGAGAGTTCCCCATCCATGGTGAATACGAGGACCTGGTTTTATGTTTCTTTACTAAGAGCTAAACTTAAGATATGTTTCTTTAGTGTTAAGAATTAATGCCTCTCAGGTTGATGTAATATGATGGAATTTTCAGTAACCCAACTATGGTTACCCCTCAAGCATTTGCTTTTACTCAGCCTGGTCGATTTCAGAAATGCACACCAAAATGATGGGAGAAGGCTGGTTCAACACTGATAAACAATAGGAAGTCTATAGATTTTTCTGCCTAATTTAGGTAGGAGGAAGGGAGGGAACTAAGCAAGGAAGAGCAAAGCTTCCCCTCCCACACATAAAAATTCTTCATTCCTCACACTTTATACCAGTTGAAGGTTTGCTTTTGAATGAATGACATGTGTCTTGCATTTGATTAAGTGGATTTTCAAAATACTGTTGCACCAAAAATGTACTCATTTGTGTTAGGAAAAAAATCAACTGTAGGGCTTCTAAGACATTTCTTGGTGTTTAAAAACAGAGCATAGATTTGAAGCCAGAGTCCCTAACTGCCAAACCCAGCTCTACTAACTAGGTGTGTGAGCTTTAGCAATTACCTAAGCTCTCTGTACTTTCCTTATCAATAAATCAGGGAAAATAATATACCTAATTTACAGGGTTATTGTGAGGATTAAATGAGCTAATAGGAAGTGCTTAGAAGAGTTTGGCACATAGTAAATGTTAGTTACTATTACTATTATTATTATTATCATTACTTTCAACGAAGGCCATTTAGATTTTGCATTCCTCAGAGAAGCTGGGCACGGCAAAATGAGGTCCCCATTCTTCATGGTCACACTGTATCGGAACTTGTGATTTCTAGCTTGTAATATAGGTCATTCTGTGCTTTGTTTTCATTGATGGGGTGTTTTGTTTGTTTGGGGTTTTGCCTCTACTACTCTGTTGGGGAGGTTACATTCAGGATTCAGTTACACAAGCATTGAGTTTCACAAATACACTTCTTGTGTGAATATAGTCTTAAATGTAAGATTCGGAGTGCTGGTAGAGAGCAACCACATTACAGAACAAAGGCAAATGGCCTTGGATCATTGGGTCATTTGGTCATATCACAATAGTAACTGAATCCATTTTGAGGGAATTTGGTGTTTTCACATAAACGGGTATTAATTTGGGAGCTAAGAATACATAAGGATCTATCAGGAATTAATTATCCATAAGACAGAGTAAGACTAGTTGAATATTACCCTTTCTTTTTAAAAAGATTTTTATTTTTTTTATTTATTTATTTGAGAGAGAGTGCGCACAAGAGGGGGTACGGTCAGAGGGAGAAGCAGACTCCCTGCTGAGCAGGGAGCCCGATGCGGGACTTGATCCCGGGCCAAAGGCAGTCACTTAACCAACTGAGCCACCCAGGCGCCCTGAATATTACCCTTTTTAAACACAAAACATATTGTATTCATGTTAGAAAAGAAATCTTTTTTCTTTTTTGGAAGATTTTTTTTTTTAAGTAATCTCTATGCCCAACATGGGGCTCGAATTCACAACACAGAGATCAAGAGTCACATGCTATACCAACTGAGCCAGCCAGGCGCCCCAATAGGAAGTCTTTTTTAATGCAATTCCTGGGCCAAGGGGGCTCACTATGTCCAGTGCCCACCCTCCTCTAGGAAAAATCGTCATCTGTGTGGGTCAGTGCTCCTAACCATGGATTTTCCACCTCAGTCTCAGCCCCTCACTATTCAGTACTCCTTTCTCCTCCCCACTGCCAAACCCTTCCACAATGAATAAATACCCTGCATTCTAGGGTTTTCACCAGCCTTCCCTCCACCCACATCATTGCTTCAACAGAAACCTGGCCTTCTGGGCATATCATTCTCACTCCTCACTGCTGCCTCAAGGGGTGATTATTTTCTCTTGCCCTGTGCTAATTGATGAGAGTGACTCTTCCTTATTCCACATGGATGATGCTTCCAGACAATTACCCCTCTACTCTCAATGCCTGGTGACTTCCTACTCATTGATGAAGACTCTGTATAAATGTTCTTTCTCCAAGAGGCCTTCCCTGACCCCCACCCCACACATACACACACACAAGCAGCTTAATGTGACTCCTTTGCCCCTTGTTACATACATATATTGTAGTACTTTATCTTTTTGGTATAAATTTCTCCAGGGTGAACAGGAAAGGAATTCATTTTTGCTGAGTGCTTATCATAACTGCCCTAGAGTATTTCATTTAATCTACACACAACCCAGTGAGGTGGTTATTGTTTGCCTCATTTTAGAGCCAAGAAACCTGAGAATGAAAACTATTTTTTTTAAGATTTTACTTATTTGTTTATTTGAAAGAGAGAGAGGACACGAGTAGGGGGAAGAGCAGAGGGAGAGGGATAAGCAGACTGTGTGCTGAGCAGGGAGCCCCGATGCGGGGCTCGATCCCAGGACCCCGAAATCATGACCTGAGCCGAAACCAAGAGTCAGATGTACGCTCAACCCACTGGGCCACTCAGGTGCCCTGAGAATGAAGACTATTAAGTAACTTCCCCCAAAGACACATGGCCGGTGAGATTCAGGACTGAGATTCATTCCCATGTCTGCTTCTCTCTAAATTAGCCTGTGTTCTTTCAACTACACCCACTCCACATTCCTAAATTTAAACCATGTTTTAGAAGCTGATGTTTGTTTTGATGGGTGCTCTGTTCATTATGCAAGCATGATTTTGCTTTGAACTTGATTTCAGTGTGACGGATGCTTGATGGATGTTCTCTGTCTTCATAATGCAAGCATTCTTTTGTTGGACCAATTTCAAACATTATCCAGATTCACTGGCACATTTTGTCTTAACACCATGCTTTTTTGAAATAAAATTTTTCTGACTGATTCTTAAGCAACAGCCATTTTTATAAAGTAGTGACCATATATTTTTAATATCTCTTACGACCTCATAGCTATATACTTTGTGACATCTGTGTTGGCTTTTTATTTTCTGATTATTGACTGTGCCCCAAAAAGTTAAAATTGCCTGACCCATAACTTCTAGGTCAGTTTTTCAAGTAATATCAAGCTGCTTGCCCCACATCTTCATAGGATAAGGTATAATCACAGTCCAATGAAACATCTCATGGGGAGAAGCTGATTACAGTAAAATAAGGTAACTGCAAATAGGATAGAGAGAAGTAATAACATTACAGGTCAGAATGGCATAAAATAAAGTTGTCTAGACTAGTAAATTGAATTACTAGTAACTTCATTCCTCCCTTTCACTTACTCCCACATCTAATAGGTAGGCAAGTCCTGTCAGTTCTGTTTTTAAATTTATCTCAAATCTGCCCATTTCTGGGGTGCCTGGGTGGCTCAGTCAGTTAGCATCTGACACTTGATTTCAGCTCAGGTCTTGATCTCATGGGTCCTGGTTTGAGCCCCCAGGCTCCTCCTTGCTCAGTGCTTCTCCCTCTCCTTCTGCCTCTCCCCTGCTCATGCTCTCTCTCTTTGTGTATCTGTCTCAAATGAATAAATAAAATCTTTAAAAAAAAAAAAAAGGATCTGCGCATTTCCCGGGAAAACAATAGTCCCATAAACGATCTTACAGAGTCTACATCTTCTACTACCATTCACACTCCTCCGCCTTTGTAATCTCCACACGGCAACCAGAGAAGCTCTTGAAACCATAAATGACCTACTGTCATTCCTCTGCTGAAATAGATAATGAACTCTGTCAATAGTACCTTGGCAAAGCACACAGTACATGTATCTGGAGTTTTCTTGTTCCAAGTTACTCCAAGTAACACACTTTGGTTGTCCAAATTTGGCAAGATTATGAGTCCACCATCCAGACTTATGTGTATTACTCTCCCACACAGAGCGATGATAAAGAAAACACGCCTCACACTATCCAAAAGTCTCTTAACTAGGCAGCAGCCCATATAGTTGGAGCAGAAAGCAAATGTATCTAGATTCAGTTAACAGAGACAGCACATATGGAGCCTTAGAAATACAGTTCTCACAGGTCAAGATCTCACTATGGCAGTGGTGCCATAATTCTAATAGCTGTACTCCTCCAAAAGGAGTCAAGAATGCCACATGACAAGTTCTCTGGTAAATGATGTAAATCCTGCACAGAGGAAAAATTGATTGCAGTTGTTAAGTGTGTGAGGGCTTCTCGAAAAGTGAGGTGGATCATAATATGTTAATATATCCCTAAGTAGAGCTGTGCCATATTCACTAATGCTTCAGTCTGAATCAGTACTAAGACCTTTGTACTCTGAAAAACGTACTGTTGCTTGAGGTTGGGTCAATGAAAGCACCAGGATTCCTGAGCAGGGGAAACACACGCACATATAGAGAGTTAGTAGGTCATTACCAAATAAAAGCATACATATATTCATGCATATGTATTTAACTTTAGATTGTCATCACCAAGTAAAATAGACATTCGTGTCTTTCGACAGCTATTTATTAAACACTCAGTGTTTGCCAAATTTACAGGTGTAAAACCCTGGATTAGCCACTCTCTCTCTCTGTCACTAAGGGACCAATCAACCTTAACTTCCTAAATTCCTGTCCCCTCTCCGATTCTGCAACTCAGCAAAAGAAGAAAAAGACCAAATAATGTGCATACACCTGTAATTAAAGTAAAAAATAGATCAAAATGCCTCCTCTTACATGATCTTTCATTGGTTCCTCCAACCAATTCCGCCTTCCCTTTTTTTTAATCCCTGTGTTACATTCACTTGCTTACTTTTTTTGAATGTGGGCCCTTTAAGCATGTTCAACTGAGCAACTGTCACAGATGCTGCAACTGTCATAGATTCTGCAAGTTTGCTTCTGGATTCTTAAATACATTTAGTTTAGGTGGGCCTTAAGTATTAATCATGGCTTCTGATTCAAACCCAGCCTCCGAGGATACTTTTCAAGGTAAGAAATTTATCAAGAGGGGTTTCATACGCTAGCCTTGGCAGGAAATTTTTCGTGCTGTGCTACAGTTACAAGTGAGATGGCTACTAATCCATAGTCCACAGTTTCGATGCTTTGCTGTAGTCAGTACTCTAGTACTGATTGGCCATATTTTAGATAGTTTTTCAGAAATAATGTGCCATTAAATCCCTTAACTGTTTTTCTTGAATCTTTGTCAACTGACAGGGATTAGGGATTCAGTTTTGACTCTGTAATGGAGATTTTTCTTTTTTTTAGAGAGAGAGAGCAAGAACGCATGTGCACACAAGC